ATGTATGTATGTATGTATGTATGTATGTATGTATGTATGTATGTGCTGGTCTTGTTGTATTAGGGTTTTTTCCCATGTAAGATTGAGATTGTCTTGGCAACGTTTTGGCGAGGTCTCACTCGCCATCCTCAGGCTGGGGTTTTAAGCCCAAAACCCAGCCTGAAGATGGCGAGTGAGACCTCGCCAAAACGTTGCCAAGACAATCTCAATCTTACACGGGAAAAGACCCGAATACAACAAGACCATTTAGCCTCTGCCAGCATTACTAAAAACATTGGCTTTATCAATCACATTTATATGACCAGTTATCTCACATAAAGTGACTCTGGGTAGATACAACAATTGAATAAAACAACAGATAAAACTAATTATAAAGGTCATAATTTTAATTTTAATTATCAACACATTTAAAATATACAAACTTCACAGAGAGCAAGAATATCAATCATAGTTGAGCCATCAATTTCTCTATTTTCCATTGCCTGGGGTCTTATGGGAATTCCTAAACAATAACAAAAAGAGCTACCCTAACTTTGGTGGGGGTATTGTTCCATAAGGCATAACGGAGAAGGCCATCTCTTGGTACCCATCAAATACAACTACCGATCAATAAAACCCTTACTATTCCTTCTCTGCCTGTTGTAATGGAATGCAATGCAAAGACTTTCCCAGCTACAATTACAACATATTTTTTGAGCAGGAATCATGAATCTTGAGGAGTCCCAGATTACATGCTGGGTCTGCCTGGGGCAGTGCCTTGCCATCTAGCACCAAAGATAGCATAATCTTTGTAGGAACCATCCAGTCTTACCAGGGTTCAGCTGAAGACTTTTGTACTCCATTCAGATCCTTTAATTTCAGATACACTTATATACTGTTAGGCATCTCTTTTGAGGAAATTAATGTAGAAATCTTGCAGTATTCTATTTAAGAAAGCACTCGTTTATGTCTGCCATTAGCTTTTCATGTTTTATTCTTGTTTTTCTAATCTAGATCATTCCAGGTTTCTATAGTCTGATATTTGATCATACTCAATAGATGGAAATTGTAATTTATAATATATGGAAATTGCAAGCTTAAGAGTGCTGATGGTATTCTTTGGAAGATAATTGAATGCGTTAAGTGCCAATTAATATCTCTTTTTTTTAGTTCACTCTAGAATATGATTCTATTTATATTGACACCATAAATAGCTGTGGTAGGCAGTGAGATATTCAGAAGCGGATTTTAGACAAATAGAGGCAATAATGCTGGCACTCATGCCAATTATATTTCAGTTTTCTTGGCTGCTCTTGATCACAGTTTTGGTTAAGTTATAAACGGAGAGTGGAAAATGAAGCTGCTACCAGCATAGCTACTTGAGATGCATGGTGAAATTGCTTCAAGCAGACAAATTGCATTCTCTAAATATTAATATTTAATGAGTGTAAGCATCCCTTTAAGCAAAAGTATGGGCAATGGATAGAGACCTTAAATTCTTGCTAGTGTTACTTAGAACTGGAACATTTACTATTTGAGGACTTAAGCATTGTGCAAACTAATGCTCAGCAGTTAAGATATCTAAAACATAGGAGAAATGTTTAGCTACTGTGAAAGTTGTAATTAACACTTTTGAAATGCACCAGTCAGAAAAGGTTTTCACTCAGCTAACATTTCCCTACTTTTCAGATTAGCATTGCTGATGAGTTTTTCAAATATTTAAACTCAGCATATAGAGAGCTGGTTCAGGGAGCTCTACTAGATAAAGCACATTTGTGTAGTGAAAGCTTAAGGTAGGTGTTATAACCAAATAGTGTATAGGTAGATCTCACTTATAATCACAATTGGGATCAGAATTTCTGTTGCTAAGCAAGTTAAGTGAGTCATACTCAAATTTACTTTTGTTTGCCATGGTTGTTAACTGAATATAACTTCCCATTGATTTTTCCATTGGAAGTCATCCGGGTAGATCACAAATGGTGATCAAATGACCCCAGGAACTGCAGCTATCATAAATACATGCTGGTTGCCAAGCAACCAAATTTTGATCAGGTGACCATGGGGATACTGCTACAATTGTAAGCATGAGGACAAATTTTAAGTTATCTTTATCAGTGCTGTTGTAATTTCAAATGGTCACTAACAAATGGTTGTAAGTTGAAGACTACCTGTATTGAAATAGCATAGCTTTTCATACAGCTATTTCATAGACTTAGTAGTTTTTAGTACAATACTTAACTAGCCTGGCATATCTTGCTGCAAGCATATTTGTTTATGATCTGTTTTTTTTTAATAAAAATGAAAAATTGATGCAGCAGTTGTGTTTAAGGCTGCCTGATGATGATACCTTTGTTGCTGCTTAAAGGTGTGCTTTTTTGTAAGAGTATTTTGACAGCATCAAGGATATATAGCTAAAGATGCAGCTGATTTTTTAAGTGTTGCTTTTAGTGGGTGCTGTCAAATGTAACATGTCTTCTCAAATCTATTAGTCTGATTTTCCATTATTAATTGTTAGACAAATAATTAAATC